ATTTGGATGGGAAAATATGGCACATCAAACAAGTCAAAACCAAGGAAAAGGAAATTATTTTCCAAGTTCCAAGGAAAAGATGGCCAATCAAACATGGCCTAAGGTGATTTGACTGATTTCTATCAAAGTATGAGGAAGAGCACATTATGGTTGTCGGCAACTTACAAGGGCCATAGCGATTCATTGTATGCACACATTTTCTAGGAACTCTGTTTGTTGGCTCACGAAAAGCTAAGTTTAGATGAAATGTTTGATGTTCAGATATTGGTCAATCACTCCATGGAATTTAGGCCGAGCAATTTGACTATTGAAAAACATGAAATATCATAATGCTTCTCAAAGTAATATTATTTATGTCTCCTACTACAAGTTTCTTATTATATCTGCAAACATCCTTGAGCACTCGTGTTGTAGTGTTGCTTTTCATGTGTCGGCTGCTTACTTGATGATAGTCATGTTGTAGCACAGGGATTTTTGGTGGTCGGCAACTTTCCATCATAGCTACACTGTGGGATATTAGGGTTCCTCACAAGACGAGGTCCTATAGGTACTTTATTGGTTTTTGGACGAATATCCTGCAATAAAAATAAATAATTAATCCATTTTAGGAAGATTGTGAAGCTTTTCTCATAATTGACATATATGTGAATAAAATAAGTATTATGCCATCATATCCATTGCACGAGCTTTAGCAAAGGAGTTATGGTCAATAGGAGTTACGAAATTTATAAATATACTCTTTATGCATCAAATTCAATTATCGAAGAAATTATTGTAAATTATTGCTCTTTGATAATAAGTATGTTTTGAAATAAATAATTATTGGTTAGAGTTGGATGCAATTGTTAACTTTGCTAGATAAGAATCTATCTGCATAGCTAGTACCTGGTCGAAGATGGAAGTTGGAATTGCAAGAGTGGCAAGAGCATTGGGAGAATCAACTATTCCTGAAATCCTTCCTTCACAGGGGCAGCATGAAAGTAGAAGATAGACCTGATAGCCACCTTTATTACTTAGGTTTTTTTGCAATATTTTGTAAATGATAGAAGGGCGATTTTGATGGATAAATTTCATACCTGTTCTTTAGTGTATCCAAATCTGGACAGGTAGTCAATAGCATTAAGCACTGCACGCTTGTAAGCAACGCTAGCATCAAGGAAGTGTTGTCGCCCACTCTCATCAACACTAATGCCCTCAAATACTAACCATTCTGAAAATCTTGGCTCGACAGGGCCTATCTCAAAAATGGGGTTGACATGCAGAGGAGTTGGACCCATTGGAGTGAGGTATTCTTTCATACCATCCCTAATGATTTCACACCTGATGGAAGTTGAAATTAATGCTGGATAAGTTCTAAACAGATTGAGGAAATCATGAAATATCTGATTTGAGGAGATGTAAATTTCAAACTGTTACTTGAGTTCTAGAAAACCACTCATCTCGATTGCGCCACAAAATGCAACTTCACCATCTCCTTGTGAAAAATGCATATCCCCAGTACTCAGGTTTGCTCCATCGACAAATACTGGAAGGTATACTTTGGAACCTCTACTGAGATTTTTGATGTCACAATTTCCTCCATTCTCCCTTCCAGGAATTGTCCTTGCAGCCTCTTGTGCAATTCTTTCCCATTCAGGAGTCCCTTCCTCAATCTACAAGCATAATGAACTATAAGAATTATCATTTCTGCTACCGGGAGTGTTAAATTACATTTGCATTTATTTTGATTTATTTAGATGTTCCATGAACTTCTCTTTCTTACTGATTACTAAGAGTTGCACGCCCTTTATTGATGATAGGCGTGTCATTAAAAATATGCTTGCTTTTGTAGGTGTCTTACCTTGCCAAGGAAGCATCCCTTCGTTGATGGTAAGTTTGCTAGTGGCCTTGAATGCAGAACCTCACACAATTTTAGAGATTGAAGTCCAGTTTCTTCGAGTTCTCTTTCCCTCTCATTCCATATGTTAAGAAGTTCCATTGAAGGTGCAGTTCCAACTATACCAGGGTGTGTTAAACCAGGAAACCTTACACCTGAGATACACTCGAGGGTAAAACTTCATGTTAGAGAATCGTGTTAGATAATTAGATAAAAGTCATATTATAACTTTGGTCTGTGCACAAGTACGCTAAGCAAGAAACCAGGAAAGGATTTACCAGGTATATGCGGAGAGTAAGCATATATTCCTTCAAAATACCATATGGCTTTGGTTGCACAAGGGAAGTGGTCAGTGAGGAATCCACCTCCATTCTCCCGATCAAATATTGCTGTAAATCCCCATTCATCCCCAGGTAGAGGACCCAAATTGCAAATTTCAACAACAAGAAGATCACCAGGCTTGGCTGGATTACCATCTACATCGAGAATTCTAATAGGTCCACTAAGATAATGCACCTGAGATGGTGTTTAGAGAGGTCATACTACTATTAATTGCTGATAACAGTAACTACGTTTCGTTTAACATTAGTTTCACAGATGAAATCATTTGGACGACATTGTAGGGTTCTTAGTTGGATACAGAGGAAGAATCAGGGGTATCTTGATCATGTTAATTGGCATGAAAAGCCTTTCTTTTCTTTGCTTTTGGTGGATATAGTTCCTTCTGTTTTTAAATTTGTTCTATCTGCTTAGTTTTATGTTTTCATCGGAGAACACCACAGTTTTGGAAACTAGATGAGTTTTACTTACTTTTGATAGATCTAAGTTTTTTACATCAACTGCAGCGTTGTCATCTTTAATGGCTCCTCCGGTCCAGTCCACCATTTCTACTCTGAATATCTCACCGGTTTTGACCTCCGCCACCGGTGGTATCATGGGGTGCCACCGATTATGAAGAGGTACGTCCTGCTCCCATGGCTTCTTGTTTATGTCTATCGGGACTATTAATCTTGGAGTTAGAGGAGCCATGGATAGAGTCTATTTGTGCCTGAAACTAATGGAGGACAAACTTTTCTGAGGTTGATTTAGACAAGCTTAGTAGGTGACAAATGGAGGACAAACTTTTTCTATGGTCCCTGGATTCCTTTGTTGACTATTGACAAACAAGTAACGACACTAGAAATTTTCGGAACAAATAAGTAATCTTTTCCTGCTGGGAATTGTACTGTTAAACAGAGGTTTTTTTCTTCAACGCGTGACCAAATTTTAAACAAACCGAGGTAATTAACCCAATCCAGCATAGGAGTAAATCTGAAACGCTACAAAGCAAGAAACTAAAGTAGCTTGGAAGTTAAAAGAAAGCAAATATGTGAGGAACTCACAATAGAGGGATCTGCATACTTGATGTCTTCAGCAGTGTACTCTTTTGTTATGCCACCCCCACTGAAATCCACCATCTCTACCCTGAATACCTCTCCGGTTCTAACCTCTGCAACTGGAGGTATGTCGGGATGCCATCGATTGTGAAGAGGGGGTTTCTGTTGCCGTGGTTTCTTCTTCAAATCAATCGGCACCACCACTCTACAACCATGCGACGACTCCATTGAGAGCAAACTTCAGTATAACTCCACCAAAAGGATGAATCAACCGCTAACTGAATTTAGTATTCCTTAAAATTATGCAGCCTTCATTTTCAGAAGATAAGTTTGACAGCAATGATTTGCCCCCACAAGGCCAATTTTTTCTTCTGGTGGACCCCTATATCATGTACCAACAAATATATCACTCAATTTTGTGGTTTGTCCTTAGTTGTCATTTCAAGCAGTAATCATTTCTATATAGCGGAGTCCACGAATCTGCAACTTAAGGAAAATTCCCAAGGAACGTGCCTGATAAGAACGCTATTGTTTTACCATGGACCATGGTAAAGGTGAAATTTAAAAAAAGAAAAACGCTATTGCTTTATTTATGTGAAATTATTTTTTTATTTCGTGATTTAAGTTGAAACCAACAAATCTTTTATAGAATAGATAATCGATTTTTGGGAAATTTGCAGCGGATCTGTCAAACCAATGCAGATTACACTCAAATCTTTAAATCGTAGAAAATAGCTCCCAATCTTATGAATGTTAGATTACGTAATAATTTCATATCAATAATTTATGATATGTCGATGCTTATAAATGAATAACATTATATATTGTAATAATATTATCGCCATGACGATATTTACCTAGTATTGGGGATTTTGATGGTTGGCAAATTTTCATCATAAGTATATTGTGGAATACTAGGGTTCCCCACAAGTTGAGGTTCAGTAGGCAACATTATGGTTCTTGGATGAATATTCTGAACACATAATTAGTCCCTTTTATTCATGCATCTCAGTCTTGGACTTTCTTTTATTCCGCAGTTTTTTACTTTTTATTAGGTAGTTAGTCAAGTAATGCTACTTGCAGTCGCTCTATGTGGCACACACATGACATGTAGTTATTTGATACATTAATGTGGTAGTTTTTTACCACATTTAATGCATTAAATACACACTTGATATGTGTGTGCCACATAGGGCGACTGTTGTAGTAAGCGACTGCAA